AAAAAAAAAAAAAAAAAAAAAAAAAAAAAAAAGAAGTGGAAGCTAAAAAAAAAAACCCAAGACCAAAAACAAATAAATAAAACAAGAAAGAAAGATACAACAATCACAATAATGCAGTGACATTCAAAAGGAGAGAATGGAACTGAGGCCACAAGAGGAGGGAAAGGGGAAGGATAGGGTGGTTAGTGAGAAATTGGTAATGGGCCACGAAAAATGATTACATTGTGTAATCATAAATATAGTAATTGTTCTGATTTGAGCATCACATATTGCATATAGGTATTAATATTCAATGATGCACCCCACAGATACGTACAATCATGTTTTAATAAATTAAATTATAAAATAAAATTTTTGTCAGATAATTCTAACATCTCTCTTATCTCAATTTTCATGTCTATTTATTGTCTCTCTTCATTCAGCTTGACATCTTCCTGGTTCTTAGAATGAAAACTGATTTTCGATTGAAGCCTGGACATTTTGATTATTCTGTTATTAAACTGTGAATCTCATTTAAACATTTTAACTGGCTTTTTCTGACACTGCTTCCACAGGGAAGTGGGATGCCACCTGGTTATTACTGGGTAGAGCTAGAAGTCCAGGTTCCCCACTTGGCTTCCATTGACACACAATATGAGGGAAGATCTCTTTACTGTTGGGCAGTGATGGGAGTTCTGGCTCCGCATGTGGTTTCCATTGATTCTGTGGTGGGTTAGCCTCATTACTGTTGGGTGATGGTGAAAGTCTTGACTCTCTGCTACTACTCCTCTGATACTACCCTAGCAGGGGGAAGTGGGGACCCTTTTTACGAGCTGGTGAGGCTAAAGGTCTAAACTCTTCTACTGACCTTCTGTGACACCACCCCAATGAGGGTGTGACAGTGCATCATTACAGCCTTACAAGGGTAGAAGTCTAGGCTCCCTCCTTGGCCTTTTGTTGGTATGGTTCTGGGTTGTGGTGTTTGACTAGAGAAGAGTAGTTATTGTCTAAAAGTATTCTATCTTACTCAACTTCCCCTTTCCTGAGAAAACATGCAGTCCTTTATAGCTGGCTTCTTTCCCTTAGCACAATGTTTTAAGATTCATCCATGTTGTAGCATGTATCAGTGTTTTATTCCTTTTTATTACCAAATATTATTCCATTGTATGAATATACTCCTTTTTATTTATCTATTCATCAGTTGATAGACATTTAGGTTATTTCCACTTTTTGGAATGATTAATACTGCTATGAACATTCAAAGTTTTGTGTGAACATGTGTGTTAATTTCTCTTGGATATATACCAAAAGGTGGAATTACTGGGTCATATGGCAACTCTATGTTTAACCATTTGAGAAATTGCCAGACTGTTTCCAAAGTGTTTACAGCATTTTACATTCCCACCAACAATGAGGGTTCCAATTTTTCCACATTGTCATTAGTACTTGTTATTGTCTGTCTTCTTGTAGGTATGAAGCGCTACCTCATTGTGGTTTTGCTTTGTATTTCCGTAATGATCAATGATGTTGGAAATTTTTTTCATGTGTTTTTGGCCATTTGTTTGTCTTCTTTGGAGAAACATCTATTCAAATCCTTTGCCGATTTTTAATAGTTGTTCATCTTTTTATTATGAAGTTGTAAGAGTTTATCTGTTAACAGCAGACTTCCCTTCAGCTTTTGCCTGCTTTTAATTTCTCTCTAGAGATTTCAAATAGTGAGCTTTAATGATATTTTCTCAGATTTCATGCTTGTTCAGGAGAGTTTATCTGACCAACTCCCTGCCATTACTCTACTTCCTTTTTTTTATAATAATCTTTCAAAAGCTTTGTTTCCAAGCCCTAATCCAGAGCTGAGTAACGTAGACTTTTTTCTCTAAGGATCTAGTAGTATCCAGAAATGCTTCATTTTAATTGTTTTAAAATTATTATTATTATTATTATTTTATTTTTTTTTTTTGGTCTTTTGTCTTTTTCCGTGTCCGGCAACGGGATTGCAACCCTCGGTGTTGCTCCCGCGCCTCGCTCAGCCAGTGAGCGGGAACCGGTCTGTATGTGGGATCCAAACCCTCGGGCGGGAGCACCGCCGCGCTTCCCAAGCGGCGCACTATCCAGTGCGCCACCGGGCCGGCCCTAAAATTATTTTTTTAAAGAATGGACATACATAAGTCCAAGAAGCTCATAATTTAGAAATAAATGCTTGAAACAATCAAATTACCAATCAGATATCACTATAAATTTTTATATATCAAGTTTAGGTATATATTTTGACTACTTTTTTCTGTTATAATTTTAGGATGCCTTTTTAAAAATCATTCGAAATGAGGGCATTAAATCCCTGTGGAGTGGCCTTCCCCCTACTCTGTAAGTTGAATTTTAATATTTTTTCCTACTAAATGATGTTGGTTGTTTTGTTTTGTCTTAAAATCAACATGGTTGGACTAAATCTTGCATTTTTACTGTTAGAACTTTTCATTTTTCTGAAGCAATGTTTTATGAGTCTTACAACCACTCACATTTATTTGTTGATGTGATAGAAGGACTCACAGAACCTGAGGAGGTTATACTCATGGTCATGGTACATCACAACAAAGGGAAACAACATAGAATTGATAAGGAAAAAAGACATATTAAGAATTGACCAGGCGTAGGTTTCCACGGTCCTCCCTCGTGGCATTGCATAGGACACACTTATTCTTCCAACAACGCACTATGAAATGTGCAAGGTGTGTCTGCCTTGGGAAACCCACTTGAGTTTCAGAGTGTAGAGCTGTTATTGGGCATTGGTTATGTAGGGTACATTCTATCTTTGTGACCATCTGTGATTAGCAAAACTTCAGACCCAGAAGGAGAGTTTATGTTTACCATGAATCACATTGTTTGTACAAATCAACCTAGACAAGTTGGTTTAGTGCTTCAGACGCACAAAAAAAACCCTTTATAATAGGAAACATTTCAAGGAATAAATTCCCATGAGTTGTCCAAAGGTCAGTCATGCAGACAAGCCCACCTGAAGATATAGGAAACCAAGACTGCTGTGTTAAGTCTTTGCTGCACGAGAATTTTTTCCTCATGAGAAATAAAGAATTTGGTGTTGATTGACTTTTTGCTTATTTTACTAAAACAGTAAGATATATTACAACATGTAGACTTTTCCTTCTCCAGAGCACTCTAATTCTCTACTAGCTACTGATTGTATGAATTAGTATGATAAACTAGTGAGGCTGAATATAAAAATCTCAAATAATACCTTGGATTTCTCTCCCACATTTATTTCTAAGAACTTTCTTTATTCTCTTTTATAGAGGAAATTAGTCAACTTTGAGGCATATATTTTAAACAATACCTAGGGTTATAAAGTTAGTGGCAGATTCAAGAGCACCAGTCAGTCCTGCTCTTAAATTCTCAGCATCAAACATCACTGTAGAACATAAGGCATTCCAAACTACGGTCTGTGAATGTCCTATAGTTAGACCATAAACATAGACAGGTTTCTTATTGCATTAATATTTATGATTTGATATTGCCTGTAACTTTGTGTTTGAATTTAATAATTCCCTTTCTATATTTTCACTTAAAAGAATATGTCATTAGAATTCCCTCAAAACTAGTGTATATAATTCTGGTGATGTTAATTGTAATTTATTTTCAGTTATGAGCTGGTGTGATATAGGGTCTGTTGTTTAGAAATGTTTTATAATAGCTCATGTACTTTTTATTTCAGTGATTCTCATGGTAAACGTAATTGGGAAAGATGATCTAGGAGACCTGACACAGATAAAACAAGTCAAGGAGATGGAGAAGTGTCCTAATTTGTCTTTCCTATTTATGACCTGAGTGTGTGCTCTTTCTGTGATCTGAATTTGATTACATAATGCTTATTAAATGCTATATGTTATAAATTATCTTCACAACTAGAATGTAAACTTTTGAAGGGAAGATACCTGCTTTATATCTTTTTATTGCCTAGTAAGTTAAGCACTAATAATTTTTAAAATAAAAGAAAAATTGTCTCCATAGGCTTTGTTGTGGTTTTTAGCTTATACAAAATATAAGGGTTTTTTTTAGCTTATATAATAATATTTTAATTTGAGTATATTTGAGACCTTAATTTTGAATAGATGTTTTTGTGCTTTTCTAACAGTGTGATGGCCGTTCCTGCCACAATTATTTATTTTACCTGCTATGATCAATTAACTGATCTTCTGAGAGCTAAATTAGGAGAAAATGAAAACTGCATACCAATTGTGGCTGGAATTGTAGCTAGATGTAAGTAATACAAATCTTTATTTTCATTTCGATTTCTGTTTAGAGCTTCTGTTTAAATTCTGACATTCACAGATAATTTGTTTAATGTAGAGATTATTGGTAAAATATATTTTTCATTATGGTTTGTACTAATTTGTTAATATCTGTATTAGTATGTTTTCTGTTGCTTATAACAAAATACCTGAACCTGGGTAATTTATAAAGAAATGATATGTATTCTTACAGTTTTGGAGGCTGGGAAGTCCAAAGTCCAGGAGGGGCAGATCTGGTGAGGGCCTTCTTCTTGGTGGGAACTCTCTTTAGAGTCCTGTGGCAACACAAGGTGTCACTTGGCAAGAGGGCTGAGCGAGAGTCCTCTTCCTCTCCTCCTAAGGTGCTTCTTTCTCTCCTTATAAAGCCCTCAGTCTGCTCCCTGATAACTTATTAAACCATTAACACATTAATCCATGAATTGATTAATTCATTCACGAGGGCAGGGCCATCACCATACAATCACCTCTTAACGGCTCTACCTTTCAAATATCATTTTGGAGATTAAGTATCCAACATGCGCTTTGGAGGGGACCAACATTCAAACCATAGCAGTATCTGTACTCCAAAAGTCACATGATATGGTTATTGCTGTCAGAATGAGATGGGATCAGCCCATCTTGGTCAAATTTTGGATAGAGCTTTTAGAATGACATCAGAATTAGTTCTGATTCACACGAACTTTCAAGGTGTCATTTGGGACCATACATGATTCAGGCCAAAGTCCTAAATCATTTTCCTTATAGACTTTGGGATTATGAGTTTCATCAGTAGGAAATATGCCTCTGCAGAAAGATGTTTTTCTCTGTGAAATACGAGTGAGGTTTATTGGGGCACTAACTGGAATGAGTTTTTGTAATATTTTAGTTGATTATAACATTTCTGGAAGTGCCCTTGAAAGAGTTGAAACAAACATAAGGTATATGAAAATGGACTTCTTTTTTTAGTTTATTTTTTTATTTTTTGGTGGCTGGCCATTAGAAAATTGACTTTTAAGAAATAGCTTTATCAAAGGAAAAAATCTGTGCCAATATGTTGGCATCATTAGATGTTTGATTTTAACGTTTGCAGATATTTCAGAATACAAGTTTAAAATATCATAAAATTCATGAAATACTAATTTTTGTGTGTGTGTTTGCATAGTACATGTATTTTTTTTTCTTTGATTTGCTTATTTGTATTAGTTGGTGCAGTAACTGTAATAAGTCCCTTAGAATTGATTAGAACCAAGATGCAGTCTAAGAAGTTTTCTTACAAGGAAGTACACCAATTTGTCAGCAAGAAAGTGTCTGAAGATGGTTGGATTTCCCTCTGGAGGGGCTGGGCTCCTACTGTTCTTAGAGATGTACCTTTCTCAGGTAAGATTTATCTTATTAGTATCTGCTAAATTTTAGGTAGCTTTGTCTTATTCATATATTGCTTTCACTAGATTTTAAAAACCTTTACAGTTAAATTATCTTCTGTAGTAACTACAGACTAACTCCTAGTTAATTATTGGGCTTTCAGATCTTTGCAAGCCTTGATTGAACAGTTTCTAATGCAAGCCTGTTTTTCTTTTCTTTTTGTGCTTAATTTTCTTTTAAATGTTAATTGGTGAGTACTCATCTTCAGAGATTGCAAACTACTTTTAACATTATTCTAAATAAGTCATAATTAATAAGGTAAGCAAACTACTGCAAATCAGAATATTATAAAATCCATTTAAGACCACCTTTGAATTATATGGGGTTGTACTTTTTCAGTTATTAAAAATAAACATTTACCCATTAAACGAGTATCCTGTAAAACATTATTATAACTCAGGTAGGTGATTGTGTTCATCCTTGAATTATGAAGAGGGAAAATCATGGAAAGTGAAAAGTACAAATCTAACAACAACTTGTAGAATGTGCATATCTTAGTTGTATTTTCTTGTGAATCATAGACGTTTCCACTTAAGACCTGAAAGGAATAGTTATTGAGAACCCTTGTATTAACGTTTCTGTTTCTTTTTCACTTTTTGTTAATCCTTTATTAATGATTTCTTATACACATTTCTAAGCATCTTTCCCTTTTGTATTTTGTTGTATCAATCTTTTGTATTCAGTTATGCTGTTTAGAAATATACAGTATGTAAGTAATCATAGATTCCTATGCCAATTATGTTCTTTACTTTTTTATTATATATTTGGTATGTAAAAAGTAATATATATTATGAAGTATAGTAATAAAATGAATACCTGTGAACTCACCACTTCAAATTATGAGCTATAGAACATTGCATTTTTTTTTAATCCCGAGACCATATATATGCTTTTGCACTGTCAACATGCCCACTTAGTAACCACTATACTGAATTTTTATCATTCATTTGATTTTTTTTTTTAAATAGTTTTTCCATATATCTATTATTTCTAAATAATATATTATTTAGTTTTACCTATTTTGGGAGCTTAAAATAATCCTTTTTTTACTGAAGAATTTTCCTAAGATTCATTCTTGTTTTTGTATGTAACTGTGTTTTCTTCATTTTTACTCTTGTTTATGTATGAGTAAACAAGTAAGCAGCACTACTATGAAATTTTTAAACAGTTTCTTGGGGCATCTATGCAAGAGTTTCTCCTTATTGGATTTGCTGGTTCATATACATATATACATTTCTAATTTTACTTAGTAATATTGAACTCTTTTCTAAAGTGATTGTGCGGACCTATACACCAACCAGCAATGTATGAGATTTCTTGCTGTTTCATAACCTTACCAGCCCTTTTATTTTCAAAATTCTTAATTTAAAGTAGTATCTCAGTTTAACTGTTTCATTGGCCATTCATTTATCCATAATCAATTTGGGATTATGGACTGAAAGAGGTAATCAATTTCATTTTCCTCATATGAATAGCTAGTTATCCCAGCATCATTTATTGAATAACCACAGTTGCTCTGGGGATCTGCAGTACCACCTCTGTCATATTAAATTTTTGCGTATGCATTGATTTGTTTCACTGGTTAATTTGTCTAACCTGGTGCGAATACTACACTTTCTAAATTACTAGTGCTTTGTAAAAAGTCACCTTGGTGATGTCACCTTATTTTTCTTCCCTAGGCATGTCATATGTCTTTATATTAATAACCAATCTTCTTCAAAGTGTTTTAGTAGAGATTTAAAATTTTCATCATAAAAGTTGTATACATCTTTTTTTTTTAGCTTTATTTATAGGTAACCTCCTCCCCCCACTTCCCACCAACTTTTAGTGGCTATTTTAAAAGCTGTTTTTTTTTTTTTTAATTATGTTTTCTAAATCTTTGTAGCTGGTACAGTTGCAATTGATTTTTATGTAATAGCTTGTATCTAGCTATCTTTTAAAACTGTTATAAATTGTAATTTGTCTGAATATCTTTTGGGTTTTCTATGCAGACAGTAATACTGTATGTAAATTATGACTTTATTGTCTTCATTTTTAATCATCATAGCTGCTTCTGTCTTACTTGCTGCCTAGTACAGTTTTGAATAGTAGTAATAATAATGAGCATCCCTATCATTTTCTTCATTTTGAAGGAAATGTTCTGTTCCACCATTAATTATTTTTGCTATAGGTTTGTGATTGATATCCTTTATCAAGTTAAAGAAGTTCCCTTTTATCTCTAGGTTTCCAAGAAATTTGCTTGCTTTAGAATGAGAGTGTTAAATTTTATTAAATGCTTTTATGTTATCATTAGATGATACCATGTTTTTTTTTAAATGTGTTATATGACATTTAAAGGTTTTATTATATTAATTAGCTTTGCATTTCTGGGATAACCCATCATAGTCAAAGTGGATGATTTTTATGAAATACTTCTGGCTTCAGTTTATTATTATTATTTCTATTTTAGGATTTTTACACTTGTGTTCATGAATAGTTTGGCTTTTACTTTTCCTTTTTTCTACTGTTCTTGTCAGGTTTTAGAATTATAGTCCTACTTTACTGATATGTAATATCTTTTGTTTTAAGACTGCTAGACTATTACTGAGCATTTTGCTCTTTTTTAATTAAAAAAATTTTTTTTTTACATCTCACCTCATAGGTGCCTAAGCAGAAGCAAGGCATGTCAAGGTTAAAATTCCTCTTTTCCTTTAACATATACCTCGTAAATCTTTTCTTTAAAGTACACATTTTATTTCTAAATATGTGCTCATTTCATTCTCTGTTTTTATAGCAATGTACTGGTATAACTATGAAATTTTAAAGAAGTGGTTGAGTGAGAAATCTGGTTTGTATGAACCAACATTTATGATCAACTTTACTTCAGGGGCATTGTCTGGTTCTGTAAGTTTATTCTTTTGTTGTTAGTATTCCAGAACAATGATAATTGTTGTGATATGTAGCATTTCATGCATACAGCACTTTTAGGCTGCACTGCTTTAAATATTTTCTAAGTATGTACCATCCTATTTTAAGAAAATAGATGATTAGCCATTAAAGTAGTTTAAAATATACTTTGTGTTTATGTTTTATTGTATTTTTCTGAGAAACGTGGATTTGTTAGATCATTAAAGTTATAATGATAATAATTTAAATAGTGCTTTACTAGAGACCAGATTTTACCTCAAAAAGTTCATAGGAAGATTTGTATTCTTTTAATTCTATTTTTCCACAAGGTTTTAAAGGTACCCTTGTTATTTTCAATTTATTAGCTTAATAAATGCTAGTAAATCTGATTAGGTAATATTTTATGGAGTGTCATCCCACGTGTATAATTGAATTGAATAGAAGCAGTTCTATCCTCTGCTGCTAATTCCTGTTTCTTTGGAAACATCTTGGCTTACTAAATATTTCTTAAAAGTTCAAGAAAAATTACCATTTTTCTTGAAAGGGAAGGATCTCAAATGACAATTTTGGGGTAGTAGAGAGTTTACTTTTTCCTACCCTTCCATACAATTGAAAGTCATGTAGTGGGCTTTCTTTATGCAGATCACATCACCATCACCTTGGCTATAAAGAGTTTTCTTATACCGACATACTTGCAAAATGAGTTAGTGATAATTTACAGTGAGACACTGACATACTGGAACCACCTAAAAACAAGAGGGAAGGGGCAGAGTGAAGTGATGGAGACCTTCAGAAAAATGTTGGAATAATAGATCAGAAAACCTAGGCTAAGGAAGCCACCATGATTTAGTTCAAAATTTAGACATCAATATTCCCAGATCTAAGATCTGTCAAATTAAGCCTAGTGGATTATAAGTTTATGGAGCCAAAAAAGCAATTAGCATTATTGAATAGTTGCTTCAGTATGGTGTACCAGCTTTTACAGTAATATGAAGGAAAGTTCTCTATTTTACTATTTCTGTTTACCATAGAAAATTTATTTTTAATGATTTTTTAATGATCTAGAAATGTTCCTGCCTTTTGACAATTTTCAAATAAAAATTTGTCTCTGCAACAGCAAAAGCACATGAATATGACTGTGGCCAGGCTTTCTGTTAGAAAACAAAACAGCCTAAACCATATCATTTTAAAAAGTGTCAAAGAGGGGGCCGGCCCGGTGGCGCACTGCTATAGTGCGCCGCTTGGGAAGCGCGGCGGCACTACCACCGAGGGTTTGGATCCCACATACAGACCGGTCGCTCACTGGCTGAGCGAGGGGCGGGAGCAACACTGAGGGTTGCGATCCGTTGCTGGTCACGAAAAAAGACAAAAAGGAAAAAAAAAAAAAGTGTCAAAGAGGCTTACATAACAATGTAAGCTACCTTTTGCAACTACATAGTAGATTGTGGAGATGTAGAAGCAATAATTGATTTTTATCATACCTGAGATCTTTGAAACTGATTTCAAGAACTTAAATCAACAAATTGTTAGGGAGGGTGAAATAAAATATAAGTGATTTTAAACGGCATTCTGCGAGCATATTGGGCAAATGTGAGTTGGGAAGCAAAAAATAGAGACCAGATTTTACTTTTCATGGCTATTGTATCAAATATCATGAGAACATTCTTAGAAGAATTTAATTATTCTTTTTATTTTTTTAATTTTTTTTATTTTATTTTTTTGTCTTTTTCCGTGTCCAGCAACGGATCGCAACCCTCAGTGTTGCCCCCGTACCGGACCGGGGACCGGCAACGGGATCGCAAGCCTCGGTGTTGCTCCCGCGCCTCGCTCAGCCAGTGAGCGGGAGCCGGTCTGTATGTGGGATCCGAACCCTCAGACGGGAGCGCTGCCGCGCTTCCCAAGCGGCGCACTATCCAGTGCACCACCGGGCCGGCCCTAATTATTCTTTTTAAAAGAACCTCCCGGCTGGCTGGTTAGGTCACTTGGTTAGAGCATGGTGATAATAAGCAGCACCAAGAAAGGTCAAGGGCTCAGATCCTTGTACTGACCAGCCAATGGAAAAAAAAAAAAAAAAAAAAAAAAACCCCTTTAATTGAGGCATTACGGAAATGATTGTAAAGTTGAATCATTTTGAGAAAAAAATTTTTAAATGTGATTTGTGAACCATAGTAACTATATTTGATAATACTCAAAACCCATAAAGAAAAGGTGTATAGAACTTAAAGTTCAAAGTCTATTTTCTTTATTTAAACTTAATTTTTATTGTATTCAATTTTAAAACATTTGTTGAAAAGTTTTAAATGCTCACAATACTTGAAAGTTTCTGCTTTAAAATATGTGTTATACCTTCACGAGAAGTAAAGGAATAATGGAATATACAGGAGCATCAGAAATTGTCAGTACTGGTTTTGGAGTCAGAGAGGTCTGGTTGGAATTCTGGTTCTCCCACTAGTAGCTGTGTGACCTCTGGAAAGCAAGGGAACTTTTCTGAGACTATTTTTGAGTTTCATGAGAAACACATAAGATATACATCTGTTTTCTTTAACAAAAACATATATATATATATATATATATATATATCTGGTTCATTGTAAAGTTGTTATGATTTTTATTTTTATCCTTATTATATAATGTGCTAATTGGAAGAATATGAAATATTTTAGGAAAAATTAAAAGGTAGATTTAAATTAATCAATTTTACTTTTTGACAGTTTGCAGCTGTTGCAACTTTACCATTTGATGTAGTAAAAACACAAAAGCAGACACTACTTTGGACATATGAATGTCATAAAAGTAAGTTGAAATAATTTAAAACATTTTTAAGAGGCCGTTTCCATTTTCCTTTCCAGATGTTAAGTTAGCAGTATCTAAAAATAAGGAAAACAAGATTTTTTTCCCCTCTCTGGCCTTATTTACTTAAATGAATCTTATATACTGTTAGAATGGAATACTCAGAAAAATGCTCTAAACCCCAACAAAAAATTTAAGAGATTTTAAAGTCTAAATGTTTCTTGACTGCTATCAGTTAAGTTTCATACCTGCTATAAAGAATAAGTTCTTTGTTAGTGAAAAGGTAGGTTGTTTTATGATATTCTTTCCTACAGTTCATTTTCACATTTATTTCAAATGTTCATTTTTATTCTCCTTGTAAGTATTCTTTCAAATAAACCAATACAATAAATCAGGACAAATTAGGATAAAGGATAGAAAATTACTAGGAAACCTTTTTTCTCTTTATGTTTTTCATTAGTATGTATATACATTTTCCTTTTTTGTTTGTCTTTTAGCTTCCTTCGTTTTGGTACTTTTTAAAATATCTATTATCTCCATCTATTTTTACTTTTTTGTAACCCATAATTTTTTCTCTATCAACAGTGTACTCTTATTTACTTCTACTAGATCCCCTCTGTCACCATTTCTCTTTAGAAAGTGTAGCAAACCCATGGGAAACTGTCCACTACAAAATTGTGTTATGTAAGCCTTGTGATAAGCCTGTTATAATGTAAATAAACTGTTCTAACCTATGACAATAATATTTTGCCTAAATAATAAAATAGGTTTTATAATGTTGAAAGAAACATTGATTATAGACCTCTGCAATTGAATCTGATGGGTATTGGTAACAACCTTGTCTTTGACCTACCAAATACCTAGTCCCCTCTAATATTAGAAGCTAATAAAAAACTTGGAGGTAATCAGTTTTATTATACCAGGATTCTCCCACTTCTCTGTTTCAGGCATGAGTCTTCTATCTGCCTAAGCCCTGTCCGTCCTCCTTTGATAGTTCAAAATTATTTTGTTTCATTCTTCCTTTTTGCTCATCAGAATCCTTTTTCTCCTGTTAAGCAAACTATTTAATATAGTAGGAATATTCTCTTTGGTGCAATTTATCATAAGTGGTTAATGACTATGGCTGAAGTAGTGGTGGTCATATTGGTGATGAGAGAGAAGATTCTCCTGTAGGGAATCTGTATGGGTAGATTCTGATGCACAATAAAAGTTTGAGAGCTACTTACCTAGGTAAATAATCAATGGAGTCACCTGAGGTGCTTTTTCGCTATATCTGAAGCTGGGCATCGCTCCCAGTAGATTCTCATTTAATGGATCTAAGGTGAGGCTCTAGCTTGTGTATTTTGAAAATGTTCCCTAGGTGATTGTGTTGTACATCCTTATTGAGACTGGCACCAGGGATCCAATCTTTATTAGATTTAACTCTTACCTATGACTGCTTTTTTATAATTAGTGTTTCTCCATTTAAACCCAAAAGGAGAAGCCGAACATAAGAGTTGGTTTTTAATTTTCCATTATCATCATTGGTCACTTTTACCTGTTACTGTGCCTTCAGCTATGAACCAATTGTTTAAAGGTTTAGCAAGATAAATTTCTATTGCAAACTGCACTTCTGATTTGAGTGATAAACAGCCCATAATTATTCTCATTATTTGTATTGTTATTTATCCCCACCAAATAAGTAAGGTGGCTTCATTTACAAGTGGTTTCCTCCATTCCATAGCTCGGCTATACCAAATTCATTATCTCTAAGCAAAAAAGAAAATATGAAGTATTGCATATAGAATGATGGTCAGGTTCCATGCAAGAATATTATCTCTGTATCAACACACTGAGACCACTTCTCCCATTCTTCTTCCATTAGTCAATTACTGATTGAGTGCCTATGCTGTGTCAGAGACAATGCTGGTATATACAGATAAATGAGACAGTATCCAAATCCTCAAAGTGTTTAAATCTGCTGGAGAAGAGGCTGCATTCAGAAGCACATTAGGATGTAGTTAAGTTCCAGATCCTATAATAGAGATACCTCATTTATGAGTGCATCATTCATATTTAATTTTCAAAAATTTAATCTCTGGTTTCAACTTTTTAAGCTTGGGCCAAATCCATCTGTTTTCCAGAGGTTGAGCTTTTTCTCTGAACATATTCAATATATTAAAACACTATTTAAACAGTATATAATTCTTTTAACGTCTTTAATTTTAATTTTTAATATTTGATATTTAGTGAATTAATTTTAAAACTTAAAACAATCTTTTAAAGCAGAAATAAAAGAATCATTAAAATGGTTATACCTGGCAAATAAACTTATTAAAAATGCTCCATCTTAGTAGTAATGTGGAACAATACTAAGAGGACATTTTATACCAATTGGATTGTTGGGGAGGGTGTAGAGCACTGGGAACTCTCATGCCATGATGGTGACAGTATACATTTGGAACAACTGCTTTGGAAAACAATCTGGCAATATTAAGGAATGTCCTTTGAGTTATCAGTTTCACTCCTAGATACGTGCCCTTGTGAAACTTTGCACATATACAAGGATATTCACTGCAAGATTCTTATTAATAACAAAAAGTTAGAAACTACCAAATGTCTCTTGGCAGCAAAATGGGTAAATCATGATAATCCATATATGCACAATATCATACAGCAATTAAAATGAACAAAGTATAGCTGCACTTGCCAACATAGATAATCCTAAAGGAACATTGCAGGAGTAAATGTATAGTATGATATCATTTATATAAAGTTTTAAAGCAGTACAAACAAGAATATACAGTGTTTCTGGATATGTTCAGATGTAAAAATTCAAACAAATTTATGAGGAAGATAAAGACAGACAAGGGAGTGCTTACCTCTGAGGAGAGAGGAATATATAGAGGGCTTCAGTTGTATCTGAAATATACACTTGTTACAATTTAACAAATTTGGATGGTCAGTGAGTGTTTATTATTTTCTGTGCTTTTCTGTATGCCTGAAATATTTAATAAAAGTGTTTCTTTACAATGTTTAAGAAGTTGCTTATTACTTGTAGGAATAGCTCTATAATGTTGAAACTTTAGGCAGGAGAACTGTTAAGGTGCCACTAGAGCTCGGCCCTGGCTTACATTCAGTTGATACTCTCTTTTTGTTATTCTCTTTTTTTTTTTTTTTTTTTTTTTTTTTTTTTTTCCGTGT